AGGTCCAAAACAGATAACCACGCCATTATTCAGCATCCCGGGAACAGCGAATCATCGAGCTCGCCTTGGAGCACTGGCACAACATCACATGCCTCAACTTTGTCCGCAACGACAACGCCAACAGTGGAAATCGCATCGGTCAGTTTTGAGACTGATTTTGTTATGCTGTGAACGATTCTTCTGTAGGGAGACATTGCGCCTGGCGATTCCGAGTCAAACGTTATTCTTAGTGTTCACGGATGTCGACGGATGTGCGAGCAACGTTGGAAGGCATCCCCTCGGCGAGAGCAGCTCGTATCGCTAGCGCCGGAGTGCATTCGGGTAAGGTGACAGTGACTTAATTCTCTGCGCTTTTGAACTTCTTATTTCGTATTTGAAGCCCATACATTTAATTATCCTGTAGAATTTTCATGGGACTGCTCATTTCCTAAGCTGCACCACATTTTGCTTGAGTACACCCAGGGTGGGCAAGTCGTAACAACTGAAGCGAAGAGAAAGCTCGCCAGAATATCACGCCACTTAAATAATCGCAACTTCATGATAACCATCCGTCTTGTGTCGACCATGTACACATGATAGCGCCATTCATAACGATACTTTGTGAGACTGCGAAAATATTGCGGTAGTTCATCGTACGGCTGACAACCGGTTCGCGGGTTCGAAACCGCTGAGAAATCGACCTTGGTTACGGATTTTTACGGGGAATATAGAAGTAATGACGTTTCTAGTGCAGCGACGAATTTGTATAGTTTCGGCCACCCTTCGGATTTGAGAAGATCAGCTGACAAAGACTTTGGCGCTTTCGGTTAGATACCATAGGATTCCCAGAAAGAGAGCTCGGAAAGAGCGTCCCACAGGATGCAATCTCGACCATACCATGGGTAGGTAACAAAGCATTAGGTTCTACCTTTCCCCATCCGGTGTTTGCTCTACTGTGTGTACTACGAGAGGAAAAAAACTTTTCCTTTTTGAATTTTTATGGTGATATTGAGTAACCGTAAGGCTGATTTTTTTCCAGCTGGGCGTCATCGCTCACGAGGTGGCTCACGCGCTCGGATTCTGGCATGAACAATCGCGACCGGACCGCGATCAATTTGTGAACGTACGATGGGAAAACATAGACAAGGTAAGCGTCACGCAGCAAAATTGCTGGCAGACTCCTTGTTCCGCTGCAAGTCTATGTAAACTGCAGTATATACATATAGTATATAGAAATGACAAGTGAATCACAAATGTGGATTGAAAACCCGCACGTGATGTATTGTAGTGTTCCAGGACTCAAAAGGACAATTTCTCAAGGAGGATCCTGACGATGTCGACAATGCTGGCGTGCCTTACGATTACGGCAGCATCATGCATTACAGGTTGGGAAATTTTGACCGATTAAGTGAAGACCCAAAATGGGCGAATTTCATTACATTGGCCGCTTTATTATATGGAAACTTCTAGAAAAGCATGTTTTGAATCCTTATGCTCACCGCGTTTTTTGGACAAGATATTTCAAAGGAGGAGTTTTCTAAAAACTGGGAACATGGGGTCAATTTTAATTTTTTTTTTGGATTCTCAGAGCAGGTCATACAACTTAGTGTGGGGATCACCACTGCCCACCTATTCGCTCTCCGTTCCTGAACGGTTCCCATAAGACCCGTCCAAGACCAGGGCTCAGGGGTAAGGTTATCCGTGATGTTGGTAGAGTATGATGAGGGTACATAGCCTGTCCACTGTGGTAGAACTGATAAATACTCGCTGCTGGGACTGATCTGATCGCGTAGTCGGACACAGGCAACAGAACCATGTACGTGATATTTCGACCACGGTCACCCGATCTATTCCAATATTTATGACCTACAGCAAATTTCAAGTTACGTTCAGTGGCCACGCGCACCCACAAAGCTAAAAAAGTACATGGTACAAAGATTCGGGGGAGGGGAGGGGGTGGGCTGAACTTCAACAGTGGTCCAAGGCGCTTTCGTTTAGCTCTTATAACTAAAAAAATCGCGTGCTGGCCTTCCATGCATGGACGGTCATTGTTCTTACTCGGATGAGGGCACCTCTGGTGGGATCGCTTTCCATTTCTCTCTCCCCATCAACCCCCTAAAAGGATTCGGAACACTGCTGGATTAACAGTGCATATGAATTCTCACTTGCATACCCCAGTGGAGCGATATTGCACAGCGCTGGCACTGGCAGAGTAGAATGGCGCGATCTCACCAAACATCCGTAGGAGGTCAAGACGGTCTTTGAAGACATTCACTTCACTCGCCAAAAAACTTCGAAGCCATCATTGATTGCGTCCCTTGCCACCTTAACCGTCACTTACGATCACTTGTGTTTTTGCGTCTCAGTCGAATGCCCTCTGTTCAGGAGTAAAGCCTTCTCCCGTTATGACGACCTCTACACCATCAGCACATTCGTCACCGACTACCAAAAAACCATCGGTGAGTGATCCTTCTTGGGTTTCGTCTTTCCCATGAGTTTTAATGCGTGTATGGTCATTGATGCCATCAGCAGTGATGCAAATCGAGAGCGGCAACTCGTTTGTGGATTGGGATGACATTGGCTACGTTTTTCCTCTGTCTTGTAAAAAATGTTGCCATGTTTTTTCCCAGATGACACTTTCAATAAGGCCAGTGCCTATCAAACGTTCTTGCCATTGGTTTTGTTCTGTCACGTTCCCACGCACTCTCCAAGTGCCTCTTTGGCCACTACTGTATGATGCGATATGGCGTAATTGGCTTTTGAGGAAGTATTTTATGCTATCCTCTGAACGGGTTTCCATGTCATTTGTCAGGTCTCGAAAAATTTTATTGAAATGTGCTAAATAAATGAAAAATAAAAGAGTCATGCCATATTTGGTTTGCAGTGAAAAAGCGCCGTAAAAAAAGACTGTTTTCGGCGATACATGCCATCTGAATTCAGCGAACTCAAGCGCTCTTAAAGCTAACGTCCTGTATTAGAGGCTTCGCCGCTATTGCAAGATACGGGGGCATCCTCTACAACTAAGCTTAGGGATGTGATTCGCTAGGACAGAATGGACTTTTCCGCTTGCGCAGCGCGAAATCATTTCGCTGCGGAAACCCCAGCTAATGACCGATCATGACGCGTGCCCACAGCTGCAGGAACTTCCGCCAAAATAAAAATTTGCTCACACACCCTGATTCATCTCCATCTCCCCTAGGGTAAGCCTTTCAATCAAAGAGAAGTCCTTTACTCTATATCCGATTAGTGTGGCGGTCACAATAAGTTGACTGTGCACTTGATAGCAAGCCATGTGGATCAAGCTGATCCAACATCGCTTGATTACCAGATACGCCTACCCCAACTTCGGATACGACGTACAGTGGCTTCAATGCGTTCCACAACAATGCCTCCAATCTGCGATAGCGCCGAGTCTTGTCCCACAGTTGAAAACGACGCGTATAGAGCATATCCGTAACAAACTGTCTCGATCGAAGGTTAGCGCGATATACTAGATTTTTAACGAATTCTGGAAGAGATTTCCAAACTAAGGACATACTCAAAAGCGGTTCGCTGACGGCTTGATCTGAACCCTAGGCTAAACCTTGTGTGTTCAGGACAACGCGACCAATTGTCATTCAACGATATCCGGCTGATGAATAAGATTTACTGTAGCAATGTGTGCTCCCGGAAGCTACCCTGCCAGCGAGATATACTCGTATAAGACTAGTAGTCAACAGTGAGTAGGTCTTTAAAACATCGTCGATAGGAAACGTTACATTACTTCTCATGACCCTCAAGCCATTTCAGCATGATATTGTTGTGCTGTTCGCATTGTGCACATGGCGTGGTGATCAGAGTGATCCTTCAGACCAAAGGAAACTTCTCAAGGTGACTGTCGATGTTTTGTAGCGTGGAGTAAAGGCCGAAATGCCCCACCATAACACGGCGCATTTCGAGTTTTCAATCGCAAACCAATCTGAGGATGAGCGCACGAGTCAGTATCATCATGAGCAACACGATAGCCTATCTATGTCAAGTATCATTGTGGGGCGAATGAGTACACAGGAAGTGCATCAGAAGCGATGGCGCTCCTTGATCGCGAAAACAGTGGGGAGCAGGGTCAACCCTACGTTGTTACGAGTAACAACGGGGGGTCGTACTCAGTTGAGCTTGGAGGGAGGGGGGTCGTACCCTCTCGGTGGCCGACAGTGGGATTCTTGGTAATATCGGATAATAGCCAGCACGTTACGTTTTCGTAAGATGACTGATACAGCATCTATAAACCACGATTCCCTCTAAATGAGCTTTCAAATGAATCAGCGAATTAGAAGGGCGCCCGAGGCGTGGCGCGCACCAAGGCAAGGGATGTAGTGCAAGCGCATGCTCGGAGCTTTCTAGCAGATCCTTAATTAAACATAAAATTGGTCTTCCAAGAAGTTACGGGCAGTGAAACCTAAGAAAACTCGCGTTTTCGAGAAAATGGCTTTAAGAATACCCCACAAAATAAAAAGTAACAACGGGCTAATTTTTGAACTGCTGATCTTTCCAGAAACGCTTGGGTGCTCTTAGAAAACTTTAAACCTGGCTATTACACGTGTCAGTGCCCAAATGACATGACTGAAGAAGTTATACGTTGAAGGTCAAAAAGTCGCGGTTCCAAAAAAATAGTAACGCAAACCCCCAAAAAAGTAACAACGGGACTAATTTTTAAACTACTGATCTTTCAGGAACGCTTGGGTGCTCCTTAGAAAGCTTGAATCCTGTAGTTTATTATACGTGTTCAGCTCTCAAATGAGTGACTTTGAAAGAAGTTATGATCATTTGAAGGTCAAAAAGTCGCTTTGCACAGAAAAAAGTAACAACGTACTAAATTTTTATTAAATTAACTTTCGAAGAATTTTTACCTATGGTTGGAGAGAGAATAATTTGAATTTTCCAAATCAAATCACTTCGGCGCTGAAGCTCGAATATGAAGGAAGTTATAGCCTTAGAAAGAGGGGTGTAAAAATTGTGTTGCAATTGAAGAACGTGAAGGATTCACTATTTCAATTGGAGCGATAATTTTTTCTGACTTCTTATAAGTTTTTATCAGGTAATGTTGTCAATATTACGGTCACTGGTTCAGCTTATTTCATCTCCTAGTTTGGTAACCCTTTGGAGTACACGGATATCTTTGAATGCATCTCATTTTTTCGTGTTTGCAAGCAGCGATGAATTTCTGTCGTGGATTTTGCTAAAGTTTCATCTTTAATGACTTACGTAGAAATAAATATTGATGGTAAACACTGTCTCTACACAAGTGTTACATACAAAGGGGGGGGTCGTATCAAACCACCCCTGAAGGGGTCGAAAATCCCGAAGAGAACATACTAATAGTTGAACCCTGGGGAGGAAGACACCCAAGATTGGAGCCGAGCAGCGGTAGCATGTATGCGGTTGCTGTTAGGCAGCAAGAACCACAAAAAGCGTCCAGGTTACCACCCAGTGGTTGCAGAACGCCAGTATCAATCCTAGACTGAGCGTAGAAAAGACCGTTTCACTGGCTTGGGAAGTGCGCTCAATGCCAGGCAACAGCTGATAAGCCTGAGCGAATCAGTGGGTAGAAAGGGGCTGAAATGGCTGAGTTCGGAGACTGAATACCCAGGTGCTTCACAACTTGATGCAGTAACAATATCAGAAATGCCTCTCTTACATTTAAAAAAGTTTGAAAGTGTTCAAAAGTTAGCTTTTAAACAAAATGTGAACCACCTACAGTTGGATATTCCCGCAGTTGCAGGTGTGATCGATGTCGCTGCCCAGACGGGTTTACCGGTCAATTTTGTGAGCAAGTGATGCCAGGCTACGGTGCTGTTTGTGGAGGAAGAATTCAGGTGATTGAATGGAACTTACAGACTTTTGATCAATTCAGTGAGGAAAGTCTATGGGGCTGCAACTAAAAATGTTTGGCATTCATACCATACCCATTTCACTTCCAGAGCTTGCAACTTCTGCGCATTCTTGATTTATGACGTACCCCCGCTCGTTTTGCTATGCGACTCGCAACCTCTTTCTCATCTGTAATCCCGGGAGAGAATTCGGTGCCACCTTTTGAAACCTTTTCGAAGGAAATTCTGACAGAGTTGAGAATTTTTCTCCCCGAATGGCGCATCTCGTCTGGAGTTATCCCTACCGTCGCAGTGCCGACATGCAGACATTTTCCCATTTTGCCTTTATGCTCTGATTAGTTCTGTGCTGTCCTTGCACACACGCGACTTTTTCAGGTGAACGGCGGATGGACGAAATTCAGCAGTCCAGGCTACCCACGTGAATTCAAAGAAGGTGTGTGTCAAAGTTATGGTCTCGGGTGAATTGCCGCTTGGCCATGGAGCTCTATGAAAGCCAGCCAAGTCTGAACCCTCATGAACCATAAGTATTTTGGATTCAGTGTCGGCAAGGCTGCGAATTTCGGATTTCTTCGTTTCTACAAGAGGAAAAAGCTGACCGGCATTGTCCAAGGCGCTATAAAAGCCTCTGCGCATCCATGTCACTTTGGAATTCAACTATCTGCATTCTGTTGTTCAGGTCAAGAGTGCTCATGGCTCCTCGTGGCCCCACCGGGCCAGGTGGTCGAAATGCAATTCATTGGAGAGTTCGAGATGTACTGTAAGGTTATGTATTTTTGACAGCTGGTTTCTGAGACAGTTGAAGTCAGGTGGAATTCTTCATTACGCTCATCGTTTCTTTCGTTGAGTGGATGTGTGTCGCAAGAGATCTGAAAATTCTCTCCCACTTCCCGTTGACTTCTTAGGACGATTTTGATTGAGTGGTATCTGAGCGCTGAGGCATGGATTCATTTCAGGTGAGGCACTCCCTTTGCATGGACTACGTCGAAGTGCGGAACTCGACAGATTTCGCGAACACTGGCATGAGGTGAGTGCGCTGCCAGAGTTCTGTTTGAATTTTCGAAAGTTTCCCAAATTAAAAGCAATGATAGGGATGTTCTGAGGAAATACTGATGTGCAGTTCGTTGCAGATGTTTGAGGCGATTGGGTGTTTCTCCAGGCAAACAAATACACCTTTCAGGTACTGTTGCTACGGCACTCCGAGCACGAGCATTCGTTCGGCGACCACCGATCTTGTGGTGTTGTTCCGCAGTTTCTACCGTGGCGGTCGTGGCTTCGAGGCTCGCGCCCGGGCCCTACCCGCGAATGGTCAGTGGGCATCGTGGACCCCGTGGACCCCCTGCACGGCTAGCTGTGGCGCATGTGGATCCCGAATGCGAACACGTGTCTGCTCGCACGGAGCATGCGCGTACGTCCTTTTTCCTTCTTCTATGCATTGCATGTCTTTGTTTTAACCCCCATGCTACTTACCTGACTTTACTCGACTTCCTGTGACTCAAAATACAACTAGGGGTCATCATATCAGCTTCGAATCGTTGCATGCTCTCTTTCGGGTCGCCGTCCACCTTTAGGTGACTAAATGGTTAACCCTACACGGAGGCCTTGCTAAGTGCGAATCATTCCACTCTTCTTTTTGACGATGATATCTCAATAGTTTTATCGATAATTCTTAGCTACTCTCTAGTTGTGTAACCTGCATGTCATTCTATTCTGTTAAAGTTCTAATACCCTTTGAGTTTATTGCGAAGCAATTCTTGATGGGTGAGCGCGTCAATGTGATCGACCCGAGGGTATCGTGTCAAGGTGTTGAACATTGCCATGTCCCACCATTCGCAATCCGCTCTCACAACTTCGAGCGCGTTCGAATTATGCAGAATTTGTGGCTCGTTGACTTTCATCTGCGGTATTGTCGTAGTCCTTCTTTCCTACTTTTTATCATAACAAGCCAACATGATGAAATTCGCGGTCCGCAATCTGTTTTCGAAGTAATTAGTGGTGTTTTACCGTGAAAAGGGTGCTTCAGAATGAATTTTGTATTTTGAACAATGCAGGAAGCCAAATTTACATCATTTCTGAAAAAGGCTCTTATATTTTTGGGAAGCACGTACCATCTGCTCTTTATTTTTGTTGAAGATAGGTTAGGATCTTGTGGCGAGTGACTGCGGGTTCTTTGAGGATTTCACTCTGTTAGAGAATGGGGAAGGCTAGCATGCATTCATAAATGACAAATAAGGTTAAATTAATGGGTCTGGAATCGAGATCCGTTGAGCTCCAGCAGCCGGCCATCAAAAGAGCTGACTGCAACCCCAGGCCCTTGTTTCGATGTCATGAGGGACCACTACATACTAATCAATAGCTAACTCTCTCGTACACCTTCCGTTTTTGAACTAACAGTGCACTCATTTCATGTACCTGGGTTCTGTTCTTGGTGTTCCGTGCAATGTCTCCAAACTCCTTGTCGGTCAGGTTCACTAATGTGACTTTCAGTGGGGAGCCAGTGGAGAACCAAGTCTGCAACACTCATCCGTGCAATGGGCTCTGCGCACATAAGAAAACGGAGGACGGTGAATGCGGCGGATTCTTGGCGTTACTTCGAGGAGTCCGGTGCAAGCAGTGAGTTCATTCCAGATTCTCTAGCTCCTTATAAGGAACTGGTAATGCTTTGAGAAGATGCTTTGTCTCCCATTCACCGCTACCGGACATGCTTCAGTCTCGAATTCGCAAACGTGAAACGAGATAGGGCCGCAGACTTCGAATAAAACCACATTGTATGGATTTGTAGGTCACTACACCCACCAGGACTGCAACATTGTGGCACGTCCCCACCATGTATTTATTTGATGGCAAAGCCCTAGTGTGTATGTAGCATAGTGAAGAAATCCTCCGAAACAGCCGAAGTTTCCAACTAATTCCCGCAAGACGCAATTTCTTGAAGAACTTCTGAAATGTCGCTCGATTGTCCTCCGCCAGGAAGTACCTCAGCCAGACAGCTTTCGTCACTATGGTGTCGTTAATGCTCCACAATGATGAAGCATCGTTTCATTTGAAAAGCCAAATCGTATTATTTACTGAATTTCTTTTCCCTGAGTGTAGGGTGAACTCAGGAATTGTTCTTTAGTAACTATAAGAATCTTTTCCAGAGAGCGAACAGTGATGGAGCCGTGCGAGAACGCTTGCTGTCCAGGGTTTTCTGTTGTGGGTGGTCGCTGTGTGCGGTGATATACGGGCGATAATATATGCATGGTATGAACGTGACCTTATTGTAGAGTAATTGATGCGTGTTATGATAAAACATTCGAAATCTTTTTGAATCCTCATTTTTGTCCAACTTCTTGAGAAGACCTTCTGATGAAGTGGAGTATTACGGTTTCCCTTAATCGCGAATTACAATGCAACATATGTATCTCGATTTGGGTTTATAAGCGAAGACTTGGCTGGATCAAACTGTAAAATATACTTTACTTCTTGTTTTATTTTATTTGATTTCGTTTAACATATGTAATTTTGCTCACATTACTTCATTTAATTTTATAGTAATAACTATGTACTTTATCTTTGGGTTAAGGTTTGTAAAGTTTGGTCAGGAAACAGGATCAGGCAAACTAGGTCTGCGAGTTATTTTCTAGGCCACGCACTCGCATTCGAGTGAAAGTCGAATACGTGGCGCAGCCTGAAGTGATTTCACCTTAAAACTATTCCCAATGATGAGTTCTTAGCCAAAGACGGTCTTTTCCTCTGAGCGTTTGCTGAGGATCGAAAGCGACAAGGGTTCTTATGAGCTGTGTATAAAAGACCCCATACGTTTCAAGTTTATTTTCAGTGAGCGGTCGTTTCTTAAAGGAAATCCGGTGGCAACCTTCTTATGAATACCCACATGCCACAATTGCGGTGCCTTTGGAGAGCAAGGTGCAAATGATATTGATCTAAAAGGTGTTCATCACAGGAATTGGTGCATTGAAGAGGTAAACACGGGTGGCCAAAACCGGCGTCGAGGATTGCTCGATGGAAGGTCGCATTGATCTTGGTGAAAATAAGGGATCACAATGGCTATAGCTTCGATGAAAACGGGCTAGCTCAGGTTCAGCAGTAGTTGCTCTGATCCGTTTTATCTAAATAGTTATGAGCTCATGCGATATGACGGTAACAGCCCACCACACTGTTGACAACGAGAAGATAACCAGTTATAGCCTAGTCAACCCTCTCTTGAAAATATCTCTCACTCTTATCCCGTTCTGAGGGTTATTCCAATGCATATTTAGACCACGTTCGGTTGATAATATCTTGATCACGGCTCAAAACGTCATGAAACATATTTTGAACATTTTTCGATTGACAGAAACAGAGTTCACATGGAAAGTCAAGTAGAGCGGAACCTTCGACCCATGTTATGAGGAACGCAGGGATTGGCCCCCGTATATTTCGATGGGTTGCAGACATTTTGGGATTTATTGTCCTTTGTTGTATCTTCGAATAGATCATACATATTAACAATTACGAAAAGTAAACAACAACATCGAATCGTACAACTGGAGTAGAAGCAATTGCACCACCTTGTCTGCAAGAAGTTGCTAAGGATTTGTGGACGCATTAATTCTCGGTACAGCACTCAGCTATGCTGTGAAGTAAGGAAAAAGTGGAAGACATCGTTCAACTCCCTCAAAGGACTAATGAAATATCCGCACCACAACTGAGATATAAATATGCTACAATTGACCCGATTAACAACATGAATGATGCACTCGTCAGCAAAGAAGAAACACAAATACAATTAAATAGCGCTCCCTTCGTTCACTCTAAAATCAGGCAAATTGGAATATACACGGTAAGAAAGGTGCAATCATCTCATCAGAAGACCGGTACGCCAGAAAAGCAGTCAGAAGAGGGAACGTGTTCATCAACTGTCCTCCAGCCGCGGGTCATGCGATTTTTTTACAGGGGCTTGTAATTGTGACTGATCAAAGTCAAAAAATCGAAAGGGGTTGTGACGCATTTGAGAGATAAAGTCAAATTCTAAAACCTAATCATTTAACAAGTTTGTGGCGCAGGAATTTTTTGGCAGTGACTAGGGCTTTTTAGCAGGATCTTGATTCAATCTCGAAGGGTTGATGAAAACTGGATGGAAAGTTCTCTGTTATTATAAACAGACAGGCGCAGTACAGGTTTTAGTAAACGCTCATATCATGAAACTCAAGAAACAGAAGCCTAGCTCAGCGAAGCAAATTTTGAACTGCATATTTTTCTTGGGGAGGAGGGAGGGTGGGGGCGGAAATGATATAGCCTCAAGTGGCGTGCCCTAGCCAACGTGGCTCAGGGATTAATCGCTTGTGATCGCATGTTGTCCACGTTCGCCAAGCCTTCCATTCTTGTAGGGTCGTTTCGTTAATACTAGGCATGATCCGGTTTTGTGGGATCAAGCTAAATGCATGGTCCCTTTTCTGAAAATTAATTCGGTTCCATGCTCGACGGTCCGCTACGGATGCCATTTTCATCGTTGGGCAAGTGGTGGATAATGTTGAGGAAGCGTAGATGCTTAACTTGGAGTAAGCCAATCTTGTCGATGCCGTGAAGGGCCAGAGAAAACACCATTCCAGAACCCCTGATATCCGCAAAGGGCATACGCTACTCACATAGGCCTTAGCATGGGTGAACATCACTGTTGGAGAGCATAAGGTCGCCCTCTGATCGCGTTACAACGTGTACTTACAGCCTTCAGCCAGCTTTAGTATCGCTGAGTATCGCTCGCCGCTGGTAGCGCTCGCCAGGCTTGCAAAGAAATTTCTGCGACCCTGCAGTAGCGTGGACAATGCAGTAAAGGCTTGGATGAACGCAGCATGATTGGAAAGAGAGTCCACCGCTATCCACTATCTTCGGCTGTGCTCAAGGGCGTCTATGGCAATAACGTGCCGAACAGTGGAGGACCTGTGGTCGCTTACAGCAGTGGCTGCTGGTGCGTGGTTAGGAATCATAAAAAACAGCTCCACCCTGCTAGATACTGAGATGAGCCGACCACCGGATACTACTAGCCAGGGTCAGGGACGTCGGTCGGTCACGCAGACCCTCCTATCCAGTGAAAGGCGCGAGAGTACCGCACTGGTCGTTTGGACATAGGCTATGCAGGTCGCAGCACCACATTATGAAGAATGTTGGAGGAACGTCATAAAGAAGGAATTTGCTCAAGTCAAAGTCGCGGCAGAAGGTGTATTGAATTGGAAGGGCGGCAACGGCTAACAAGAACAGTGGACCCTGGTACGGCGCGATATAAACGCTTTGGCGAAGAAGAAAAATATCCTCTTCTTCACGCTGCACGGAATAAGCACGCCTCCTGAGATTTTCTCAAAGGATTGGATCGCTATTCTCTAAGAGCATACCCTCACACCCAACAAAGCATCATACCAGTGAACGTCGTCCGCTGGCCAAGTCAGATCGTGCCCCCTGCGATACACTGAAAACAACACCCAATTCAAAAGCTCTGAGGAGTGATGAAAACTGGAGGAACACAGGACGGGTGTTATTCCACCCATTGTTTTCAGCGATAATTATTATCGCAGTGGCCTCAATCGAGTGTCACCGTGGCGCGCAGTAGAGGTATAGGTATTCCTCATGGAGCTCTGTCTAAGATGGCGTCGAATACAGTCTAGTTTCTCCATCCTAAGTGACACCAAGTGTGCAAGAACAAAGACACATAACAATTCTCAGCTATAAAGTAAGTAGAAGGTCCAGTAGCCGATGTTGAACAGGAGGAATGCCACGGGAAACGCCGTCCGACACTGCTCGTCAATGCGCTGGGCGACCCGTCGGCCTCGTAGATTGCGCAGCGTACGAGTCCAGTGCAGCGCACGTCGTGACACCTCCGTCGTCTGGAAGTAATAGCAATCACATCATAACGACGGCATGGTTGATAGAGGAAAAACGAGTTCTCTTGCTTGAAATTTGTAGAACAGAAGTGATTAAGCCGTAAACACAGAGCTGTGACAGATTCCTAAGAACATTCCAAAAATATGCGCTCACACTTGTTCAGGGCAATGAGTATCCTAAAGTGGTCCTGCACGTGAGGAGTTTAAGCGCGAGTGGAAGTGGTAGCCAATAGGCGAAGAAGCAAGGTGTGGAGGTGTTGGCGTGACGCGAAGGAGAAGTTACTAGTTTGTAACTCACAATCAGCTGCTCAACTCAACACCATTCGACAGGACCAGCTACACCGTGGAGGAATGGCTTAAAAAACTTGCTCCCCTCCAGGGTTGTTTTACTGAGTTTCGAGTCGTTGGAAGTACATTCGCTTTTCATTTTGGAAGCTTTTGGCAGATTTTTGTGGTCTGTCCCTCATTGCTGGCCTAATTCGCACCCGTATTTGATCACTATTATTATATTTTGTCGCATACACAACTTCAAACGGTACGCTCTTGTCAGTCTATAGTGGTAGATGTTCTTGATGGAGAGTTATGAGCCGCACTAAGAAAAAGCCCGAAAAATATGTGCAGTCAAAATATGGCTCATGTCCCGGCAGCGGCAGTGATTGCAAAAGGTTCGCTGTGCGCCGACTCCTCATAGACCGCAGTAGTTCAGATCCTACCTCCTCCTCATCGTAAATTTTCCCGCATATTGCCGGGCGGCCTACATGCACATAATAGAGCCGAAGCAAAGAATCTGGAGCTTTTTATAATATTTTTCCCAGCACAGGTCATATTTCCACTGACGATTTCACCCGAAAAGATCCCATTCTGAAAAAGCGGACTCTGGTCGGCGAAACTTCGCTTACTCCTAGTGATGCGACTGAAGTCTGTATTCATAAAACGTTAAAGGACGAGATGTCAGTTTCAATTCCGCCATGTTTCCGAAGTTATTTTTTGCAACCACTCCCTTCCCACCCGCTCCACCACCCTTGCAGTTGCCTTTGCGACGCATATGATGGCTAATTGCATTTTCCACATTGCCTTCGACCACCAATGCTTAGTCTTTCCAATATCTGGCAATGCGCCAGATTCGCTCGTGGGTCTGCCAGCCTGCTTCGAGCAGCAGTAGCATAAATTTTTGGGTTGAGCAATAAGCTCTTCACGGTATGGAATCAGAAAGGCTCACTGCTTTCCGCTCCAAGAGCTGCCTAGCAAGGTGAAGTCAGTTTTGATTCTTTAAAACTCGATACTGAAAATCGAAGGGCGTAAAACTCACATGGTGTCGGAAACGTGAGAACGAATTTTTCGAACGTTTTCGTTTCAATCGTTCGGAACCGACGAAATATCTGCAAACGGATTAGTTATTAGTTAAGAAAGCCTAATTACCCCATGAATGAGCAAATTTAAAGGCCCATTCTCTCCTCAATGTGGCCTTCGCCGTCACTACCAAACATTACTGGCTTCCTATTGGACCAAACTCTTCAATAAGTGGCATCCAATGAGACGAATGGCTGGATTTTGGTTTGGTAAAAAAAACTTAGACCTTTATGGGACTCTGGAAGCCTGCAGAGCCGTTAACCAGTGTTAGATGACCACTTCTGTAATCGGCCCCGTGACCGGGCGATCGCAAGCAGTCAACTCGCCAGGAAATAGCCTCAAACACTCATGGTCGTCTCCACATTGAGTACTGGGGACAAGGTGAAGTGGAGCTGTAGAGCTGAACTAAGGTGGCCAAAAGATTCTAAGGAGGCGCTTCTGAGAACCTATTTCAGAGAAAACCACTGGATTTGATCTATTTATCGTCTGGCATGCAATGTATTCAAATGGTCAGGCGAGTATTATAAACAAGTTAGAGGGCTCGCTATGGGGCAACGACTCGCCCCTGTACTCGCAATAGCGTTTATGTCGAAAATAGAAAGACCTGTTCTAGAACGGAAGCCCTTACTGTACTGTCGGTATATAGACGACTGTTTGATTGTGTGTCCTACCCAAATGGAGATGGACACCTGTTTCGAGCTGTTTAATAATCAATCGGAACACATCAAGCTAACCAGGGAAAAACCGACGGAAAGGTGGCTCGCTTTTCTGAATGTTCAGGTTCAGATCAATGCAGGTACTTTCAAGACGAAATGGTATCGGAAGCCGGCTAGTAAGAACATACTGATTCATTTCAGCTCTGCCCACCCCTCTAATACGAAGAAGGCCATCATTAGAAATATGATGCGCACTGCCACAACAGTTACATCAGGAAGCGACGAAAAGGCTGAATCGCTCGAAAAGGCGC